CCCGCCGTTCGTGGGGAACCGGGTTGACTGACAGGTCGCCCATGGCGACCATTGTTCCCGGAAGGCTGGGTGGGATCCATTTGGGGACGCTGTCGTAAGGCGTCCGATGTTCTGATGACGTGGTGACGTCGAGCAACTTGATGCTGTGAACGAGAGTTCGTTCGTCGCGGCTAGAGTAAAAAAGTGTAAGTATACGCGAGTCCCACGACTCCCCGAATCCCGCAAGTACTCTGGACCGGGCTTGATTGCTCGGCGTACTCGCTGGATGGTGGGGGGTGGTAGAACTCTGCCCCCACCAGGCGCCCGAGGCCCGAACCTTCGGGCGCCGTACGCTTACGTACGATACATGAATGGCAGTATCTAATCTACGGGCGCCTAGATGCGCTAGTTCTCCGCGATTCCCGGAGAACACCTTCTCCTACTGAAGTGGACGTTCCCGTCCATGCACTAGGGAGTGCCGGTAGTAAGTAAGAACCGTCGGGTTCTTACAAATATGGATCGGCTCCTTGGATTTGAACTATTGCATAACACAACCGATCTAAGCATTCTCATGTAAAGCCGAACCAACAAAAGGTCACACGGGTAATCGGTGTTTCAATGTAACGGTCAACCATCGATACGGCTGGATACGATCAATCTTGCTGTCTGAAGTCTCACGGACTGGTCTACCACCTACTGTCAGTGTCTCGTTGAATTCAACCGCTACACTGTCGATACGCCCGCAAGCACACCTAGTCACGAGAAGCGAGCTCCAGAGCTGGACTTGTCGTGCTCTAGGAGCAATATACATATTGGCGGAAGCTGGCAACCTGGCCAGCGACCCCATTTTATCCGCAAGACAAGACTGAAGATATCCCGCAAGACCGCACCATCCCCCGCAAGACCTGCCCTCGCCAATACGCAGGAGGCCATTTTCGCCCCAGCCCATTGTGTCATGCAACGCAGCCAGATCGCCCACCTTAAGTTCCAAAAACGGAACAAGGGGAGTCAACCGGCTGAGTCGCTGTTGCAACCCCCACCGCCGCTCGTACCCCCGCCGCCTCTACCGTCCTCCTCTCCTCCGTCATCTGGTCATGCAGGCCAGAAAGGGCCGTAAGTCGCTGAGGAACTTGCTCTTCTGCCCGAGCTCACGCATCTATCAGCGATATCTCCACCCTTCCCGCATCCAATCCCTGCTCTTCTGAGCCTCAGCTGCGTGCGCCGCCGGCCGTCCTACGAGCCACAAGGCGGGGTCATGGTAAGCTAATGTCATATTCCCGCGTCTGGCGACGCTGCTTACGCTATCATAGCGCCGATAGTTGGCCAGTGGTTCGAAGGCAAGGTCGCTGCCCAGGACACGTTCTCGAGCTTCTGCATAACGTCCCCGAACATGTCTTACGTCCCGCGACTTCCGGTGGAACGCAAGGTCGTCGAAACGTTCGCTGACGGTCTCTGGGGGCTTCACGCTGCCGACCCGGAGGTACTTTTCAAGACGCTCTCCCCTATGAAGGACTGGAAAGAGGATACGTCCGCAGGATTCGAGGGCATGGGATACCTCAAGGAATCCGTCCTGGTTCCGCTGCGCGAAGCGGCATCTCAGGCTCTGCGCGGGTTTCACAGTACCCGCCCGTCAGACAAGGTTCTTTTAGATCATGGCGACCTCCTAGTCATGATCCTAAAGCAGGCGGTCGACCGTATGGACAAGATCCCTTCGACGTCCGGTGTAGCTGTGGCCGTAGGCGCTCACGTTCAGAGAGTATCTTTGGAGTTAGCTGGACTTCGAATTTACCAACAGCGAGTCCTCCGTCGCTTAGAGTCCTCCGCGGACTACAGTTTCGAAGTTCTCCCCGTACTCGGCGCTTTCACAGGCGACCCTACCACGGCCCAAACCCTCACTCGCGTCGGTATCCCCACTTGGTTGATACAACCAATCACTCATTCGCTCCCTGTGTGGGAGGTGGTTGAAAGCAGGCTCCCTAGTTTCATGTCGAACGAGAAGGCCGCGACACCGGCCTATCAAAACCCTGACGTGGTCGCTGGTGTCGTGAATCTGACTGGCAACTGGCTGAGCAACATGGCGGTCAGCATCTCCCAGGCTGTCTGCGGCAGCCGACTCAGTAGATTGTCTTCCGGAACACAACGCGCTGTTCTCCCCGAGCCCGCTACCCCGGATTCGTCGCCGCCCGCCAAGCGCCAACGGGTCCCCGATAAGCACGTCACGTCGAGGCACATTGTCATGCCCGTGCGACCGGCCCCGACCCTGCATCTAAGAAGAAGAAGCAGAAGAAGCTGCGCATGTCGCCTGACGTCGGGGAAAGATGTCATGTTGCGTCGTCGTCTGGGGCTGGACCAAGCGGCGCCGAGGAGACGTTACCCCCCTCGTCAACTCCGCTCTCCAGTCGTACGATCTTACCATCACGATCGTATTATTCCTCCCCTTTCTACACGTTGACGCCGATCTGGAGGGACGCCTTGGAAGGTGTTTCTCCGGTTGCGCAGCCCCCGGCGTCGTCGGTTTATTTCTATCCCCCGCCGTTCCTCCTCGACACCATCAGCACCCTTGCACGTCTACCCGACGGATCCCCACATCCGGAAGCGGCGCGTGTGGACGAAAAGGTCCACCGATACCTTCACAATCTCGTGCGCATTCGACCCTTCTGTCTAATGCGCTTGTTCAGTCCGACTATGACTAGCCATCCCATGACCATCGTGGAATGGCGAGTGGCTCTGTGGGGTCAGTACTCCGAAGCGACATTTACCCCACCAACCGTGTATACGCCCTCCGTGCGGCGTGCCAAGCGAAGAAAGGAGGAGCGCAACGTTGTGGGTCGTCTTTTGACGCGGGTGGGACTTATCCCGACGTACAGGGACGATATGACGCCTCACCTGGAAAC